CAACATCGGATCTTTCGACGGACACCGTACGAACTGTACTTAATTGAAGTCTTAAATGCCACTCTGAAACAGATAATTATCAGCGACACCATGCACGAAGTAACACCCAAGTGGACTTGAATGCGCGCTACGCGCGCGTATGTTACAGTGATTTTCGTTTTCACGAAGTAACACTCATGTACACTGTGCGGTGACTCGGTAATTTTCGTTTTTCACGAAGTAACACTCTCTTCTTTATTTCACCAGTTTGAATACCTTTTATTAAAATGTTCTGTATACCTACAAGAGTACGGATTAATTAAATTCCTGTCAAACGTTTAAAAAAATTACAAATAGTATTTCCGTAACAGTGTTGTAACTTTGTGGAAACGAAAATCGTTCGCGCCAGTGTCCGATGTGCGCGCACACTTGAGTGTTACTTCGTGAAACTAAAATTTGCCATTTATAGCATAAGCGCTTTTCACGAAGTAACACTGAAGTAGACTTGGGTGTTACTTCGTGGTGTCAGTGACGATATATTAACCCTTTATGTAAAGGAACATCTTTTTCTTTGCTTTGTTTAACTTTAATGTGGAATCCTATAATTTGTTCTCGGTCATTCACCTCTGACCGTGTGGGTGCAATCCAGGGGCCCAAAACTCCCAGGGACCAATCGATATGGCGCTTACATCGATGCTGCTTACCATTGTAACGTTGGTCCGATCCATTGCGAGTTGTGATTGGTTTGAAACACATAGTTTTTAAAGTGCGACTGTTCTGTAGATCATATAGCCAGAGAAAGAATTCAAGGATCACTAAAAAAAGAAGACTACCTTGAAAAAAAAACACCTTTTTTTGAGAGTGTCCGAGTTGCATGTTACCTTTTTTTCCATGAAGAACCTACTTGTATACCTGACGTTCTACTTTTCTGAACAGAAAATTACGAGTAAAATGTCCCTACACACATTTTATTTAAACACATACACGTACATACATGTACATTCCAACACAAAAGATTTTTTTTTTTTTGCATATAGGGCCGGCAATAAACGCCCGTAGTTATCACATCAAAGTAGGCAAGCCTGCTCTTGCAATAAGCGCCGAGTCACACCAAGCAACCATTATGCACTGCAAGCAAAAGGAACCGTTACTTTTCCCGTCAGTTGAAGGAACTTGCTCTGAAACTGTCACGGATATAAGATTTTTCCTGTCGTTTGCTTCATTGAAATTCGCATGGAGCAAGTTGCCTGTATGCCAAAATGTGAAATCCCTGGATGGATTGCCATGTTCTCTATTCAATTTGTGTCAAACTCGTCACTTGTGGTGTATCCCGCGCGGGGTGGGCTGTGGCAGGGCGGCAACGTGCCCCTTTTATTTTAAGGAAATGAAAACACTAGGCCCAGCGCCTTAAATCCGATAGGTTTCCCCACTTATAAGCATTTTTGCGTGACGACGCACCAATTGTGCCCTGCCTGTCACAATTGGTGCATCAAGCACAGAGTTGTTCTAAGCATAAAGCTTTAAGATATGCACGGCACTAGACTCCAAACATTAACCATCTGTTATGAAGTTGAATCGGGCCAAGTGGCAAACAAGATAATAGGCGAAGCATTCAGCTGATCAGCCTGACCGTTTACTTCCTCTTCACCAGCCTAATTAAGGCCAAAAAAAAAAGTCTCCGGTTTCTGGTATGGAGCTTGCCCCAAAAGTGGTGCGGCGACGCGGCTTTTTTTTTTTTTACCTGTTTTTTTTTTTTTTTTTGGCTTCAAATGTCGGCTGATGACTGCAAATGGTGCCCGACTAAACTTAGTGCAAATATATGGGAGTCCAAAGAAGGCCACATAAATCTTATTCTCGATCATAACCCCATCTAAAAACACGTTAAAATTGTGCAGCAGCAGAATTCCAGTCAAACCAGTGAGTTTGGCGGTTTTGAAACATCATCTTGTATTGAAAAAAAACTTTTTTCATTTTGCCGACGCGCATGGCTACGGCGACGCGCGCGCATACCAGAAACCGGAGACTTTTTTTTTTTTTGCCTAAGGAAGACTTTTTTTTATTCATGTAAAACAAAAAAACACTTTTTGGAAACGGTCGATGTCCACCATCGAATAGGTACGGGTAGTGTGACACCATTCGCTGCTTGTATAGCCTAAATGTGAAACTCTTTGGTTAGCTCCGCTTGATGTTTCCTGATGGCTAAATTCACGTCAATGCACTCGCTGCGTTTACCGTTCCGAATTTAGCTGCATACGTCAATATTCCATGGATGTGTTAATAATTTTGTGTGAACGACAAGAAATAATATTAGCGTGTCAATAATTAGTTGTCACGCCGCCATGTTTGTTTTCTCGCGAATACCATTCCCTTGTAATCCCCGCCTCGATTGAAAGAGGATCAAGAGGGAACAATTCGAGCATAATTGAAGGATTACAAGAGGATTAGGCCATTGAAGAATGGGGAATTTATATGCAGCTCCTGTGATGGGTGACAGGGGATTAGTGCTTTTGTGTGGTTAATGACGACCAGCGTAGCTTGGGTTGGAGCTGCCCTGGGGGCGCTTTGACACCAGCAGGCGGGCATATCACATCGCTTACCGGTCGGCAACAGATGGCCGGTCGGCCCGGACGGCCATCACTAGCAATGGACCGGTCGGGGGTCTACTTCTGTGAAGGGAAATGGGCTTCATCACTACATTTTCATTTGTTGAAATTAATGTTAGTTTTCACCGATATCCTTTATTGATAAAATGTAATCTTCTTGATGAGTTGAAATCAAAATTGAAGTCAAATCGATGAATGATCGCCAGAATTCAAAAATTAAGCCTTTACCAGTTTCTTAAGCGCATCGTTCTTCTTAATTTGAAATGACGCTCGAGTGTTTATTTTTTCACGTGGCTCTCAAAAGTGGTAATTAAGCGCCCTCTTTGTTGGCGCAAGGAACCCATAGTTTTGCTTATTACATTGTGACTTTTGGATGTTTGTAGGGTTTATACTAGGAACTACTCAAACGTGAGTGAAAACCTTCCAATTAAGCTTTTGTCAGACTGGCTGTCTAAGATTTTACGCTCCACAGCGGGCGAAGTACTTGAGAATGACACCCATGTCGCGGCCATTGTGGTCCTGAATAACCGCCAAAATGAACCACTTAGTTACTTCAGCTACAAGTACCGGGCCCAGGTACAACAACCCATCCAATCCTGGCACACAGATCGATGCTCAAGTGCGCTTCGTATAATCGGTCGGTTAATCGATAATGCAGTTGTCGGTTGCTATAATAAGCAGTGAGGGCCCCTCAAACAGGAGTGATGAGGGCACGAGGGACTTGTGTAAAATGCCTATAGAGGTTAAGCCCCAACAACCCACTACACTTCTATAGGGGGACGATTTCTGGTTGTTCTTGGAAGAGAGTTGCGTTGGGATTAATCGATACTTCGGTGGGGTTCGGGCTCAGAATTGTCAATCTCTAAGTACAGTACACAGAGTAAAGGTAATTAATGCATGAATAGCGTTAAGCGTGTAATTAGGGAGTACTTGAAACACCGTTGGGGCTTACAATGTGCAGTCAGGGGGTCACAAGAATGGGGGGGGGGGGGGTGTGATATCCGAGAAGCTACGTCAGATCCTCTTCTGCCTTGCATCAAGGGTCAGTCATTGCTGAGCCACTTGCCACCTCTTTACAACCACTTTACAGGCACTTCACGGGATAAGAAATCGTTTAAAGGAACCGAACTGATACTCATTTTCTCTGATGATCCCAACACTTTGCAAACCATGACTCACTAGGTCTCTTTTCTGTCATAAAAGACATCAGATGTTGAGCAAGAGTGTCAACGGAAGACTGGCGCCGAATAAACTTCACTGTTAGATATCAGCGGCTCCCAAGAGTTGGGGGGGGGGGGCAACTTGGCACCCCTGCAATTGGCATAGTACATTTTTCAGCATTTCACTAGTCTTGGCCCAAGACGCTAGTGATCGATAGTGGACGATAGTGGTTTTTCCACAAGAAGAAAAATGATGAGAGATCTATTCCTTCCTCCATGGTCGGAGACGGGTAAAAACGAATGTTACTTACGACCTTTCCCATCCGGCTATTTCGTACTCCTTGTTCGATTACGTTTGTTTTCACATCGCGTACTTACGCGAGAAAGAAAATGATAACGTTGCGAAGATTCACCTAGTAGTAGTACCTACATCCTATTCTTAGTCGTGCTTGCTTTAATACAGTTATTATCAACGGTCATTTTAGATTTGTTTGTAAATGAGAATTAGTCCTTCAAGTTTATTTTTAAAAATTTGTGTCCCAAAAGACACACAATTGTGACATTGGATGAGGCATGCAATGCTTTGCGTGCCTTCACTGTTGGGAAGCAGATTAGCCCTTCCCAGTGCCCTGTTTGGGCGGTGGGTACTAGCGAAGTGGCAGCTTTGTGGCCTTATATGCAAGGTTACTGGTCACAATGTTGCAGGTCACGGCTCGAGTCCCATCAATTTTACATTTTTCTTTTTTGCCCCCAGAATTGAATTTTCTTTCCTGACTTGTGTTGAATCAAGTCCCAGCCCTACAGATCGATGAAATAGATTTCCCTTTTTTTCCTGATTCATGGCTCTAGATTTTTTTTTTAAGTCCGAGAACCTTCGATACTGACGTTGCGTAATGGTCATTGCCTTTATTTGGTGGCAGAAATATAATTGCCCCCGGACGTACACACATGGCGGATCCAAGCGCACACTTTTGATTCAATGTTTGAAAAGAAACATTGTGTGACTGGAATTACGACAAGTGTTCCAACGGCTCCCTTTTTGTGGACCAAGATTTTGTACCCCGAAATTCCTTCACGCGGTAAAATTAATATATAACATCAAAAAGAAGCAAATCGTGCTGTCCAGCCCCAAAAGGCCGCATTCTCTCGAAAATAGGACTAGGAGGCCTACTCGGCCTTGTTCAGGTTTTTCGGTTGCCTTGGTTACTAAAAGGGCCATGCTTTCATTTCTTTAGTGTCACGGCGATGGGCCCGTACATTTGCATCTCATTTCAATTCCCTTCATAATGCCTTAGGCTCAGCCGGTGCTGAAACGTCAGCAGAGAGAAAAAAAAAATCGTTTTCGGTATTCGGTACCGCAGTACATAGGCCTACGACTACGTACGATACGATACGCTGGCTCTGACCGGACTCTGGGGGCTGGACCCATTGCTGGACGCTGGCTGGACCCTATGGCTGGACCACACAACGGACAGCATGTACAGCGCCCCCAGGTGTCGGAACAGGGACAAATAATACGTGCCTCTTGAGGGCGCTCATCATCAGGTCACGATATGATTCCTCGATCACAAATGCATTTATGCACGGTACCTATATGCACACTGCACTATTCGTAAAAAGTAAGTAGGCCCTACAAAGTAAATGTAGTGAAGTTCATTGTACCGTCCGAGTTTATTTTTATTTATTTTTTTTTGGGGGGGGGGGGAACTCCCTAAGAAAGATATTACTTACACCGATCGACAAGTTTCTGAATGTTCTTTGTTTTGGTGGAGGGCAGCAAAGAATGTTACATCCTGACGTAGCTGGCCTAGTAACTCTAGCGCTGTTGTGCCCATTCTTGAAAATCACGCATTCTTAAGAATGTGCATGCACATTCTTAAGAATGTGCAACTGGATCCTTGCCCAATCTTCGCAAAAAATAACTCTTCCAGATTGAGCGCACATTCTTAAGAATGCGCGACAAGATAACGGTCTTGTTGATGCCGAGCACCGGCTGCGCTTGGCAAGTCTAGCTGCATCCTCGTTCACTGATTCTCAATAATTATACTGTTGCAACGCAAGGCGCTGAAAAGTAGAGTGGATATGAAAAGTATCTATAGGCGTATTGATATTGGGGGGGGGGGGGAATGGGAAAAAATAAGAGACATAATAATACTAGTGGAAAGAATTCTGATTTTTGGGATAATAAAAGCGGGGGGGGGGGGGGGGGAACGTAAGAATGAAGAATGTGAAGAATGAGAATGAATACTGCGACATCCCATAGTGCACTGCTAATGCTATTTCCCATTTAAATTGCCACCAATTTATTGTTCACACCCCACCATTACGTCGCAGAGCTAGATTCTATCTAGTCAAAAGAGCAATTTTGGCAGCTTCTGGACATCGTTTTTTTTTCGTGGCATGCATATGATACATACAGGGACTTGTAACTTGTCTAGCCTAAACAAAGCACTTCCCAGACTAGTTCCCAGTCCTCCGTTATTACAAAACTTCCCATAGTGGGCAGAAAAAAGCAATAATAACAGGTTTAATTTGATTCAAATTATCGTAGTTATACGAGTACAGAAGCATAGAACATTTTCTTTCCTCTTTATATAAATTGTTTCCCTTTTAACCGCTATACATTTCATTTAACATAATTATGTCGTGCAATGTTTGTTAAGATTGGGCAAAATTCATAAATTGTGCACGTGATATTCACACCCAATCTTAAGAATGAGCGCTCATTCTTAAGAACGTGTGCTCGTTCTTAAGAATGGGCGCTCATTCTTAAGAATGCGCGCACATTCTTAAGAATGCGTGATTTTCAAGAATGGGCACAACAGCCCCATAAATGTGGCCAATTTACTGGACTACCTCCGTAAATATAGGCCACATGTCCACATGTACAAAAACATGTCGCACTTTGTCAAATTTTGATTTTCACATTTAGGCTTAGTTTATAGCTTATTTTTGCTTTAGAAACATACTCACCCTCTTTAAAAAGCTAATCAGAAAGTGCTGCCTTTTTCAGATGCCCATTTTTCCTGAATTTCAAGATACGTTTGCACACGTTTTCGTATCAAAATTTCAACATGAAATTTCATGAAAATTAGACATCTGAAAAAGGCAGCACTTTTTGATTAGCCTTTAAAGAGGGTGAGTATGCTTCTAAAGCAAAAATAAGCTATAAACTAAGCCTAAATGTGAAAATCAAAATTTGACAAAGTGCGACATGTTTTTGTACCTGACGGACGTGTGGCCTATGTTTACGGAGGTAGTCCAGTAAATTGGCCACATTTATGGGGCTAGGGTAACTCCAGCTTAAACCATTGGAGGAAGGAATTCCTCCATGCTTAAACAAGCTCATCAGGAATTAGACCCATGAACATGGCGTTGAATACAACGCCACGCACTTCCAATTCCCTCACATAAATACAAGCAAAATCATTATATCTTTTGATCCGCTACATATAACCACGTATAATTTTGCCAGTAGGTAAATCACTTACTTGTCATGCTTGATAGGCTTCCTGTGAATTTACGCGAGTGTTGGATCTGTCATTGTTAAGAAATTCGAAGTAAAATACGGCACAACTTTGTCACAACAAATGTTTTCAAAATGATCAGAAAATCAAAGACAGGCATTACACTCTGGTACCCCGAGTTCCGCATGCGCAAAATGGTAGGAGTCCCACCTGTGGGAACCCGACTAACAGTCTTACATGGCAGGATGACCGTAATACCATGTAAAATTCTGCTAAATCCACTTCGAAAGTCTGCCAATCACCCAGTATATATTGCTGTTCCATTGTGTAAGGGTTTGTTTCAGGGATCTTTCAAAAAACGAAGGCTTTTCAAACCAAATGTGCCCATATTTCTCTACTCTTTTTCATTGTCCTTCATCTACATAATTCTGCCGAAAAAAATATTCTGCTGGATTTTCTGTACATCTCATTTTTGTATGCAAATATTCTGTCAAATGTAGCCGAAATTCGGCTAGAACGGTCACTCCAGCGCAGTAACCGCAGATCACATTAGAGAGTTTTTACTATAGATTGAAGCGTGGCTATGTATATAGCCACGTTCACGGGTCTAATCAGGAATTCACATGTTACATGTGAATTCCTGATGAGCTTGTTAAGCTGGAGTTACTCAAGCTAATCCTGACGCCACTTTTTACATATTAATATTATCTCAATCATTCATGATTTTTATATGAAGGTCAGTATACTGTTCCATGCTACGCGTGTATCACAGCTTTGCTTCACATTTTATGGATTACCCACAGCTTTGTGACACTGATGCGCATGCATCTAATTTAAATTTTTGCATATTAAATCATGCCCCATTGCATTGCAAAATTTGTGGAAGTACTGTTTTACTGTTTACACTTGCTACTTGTTTACCTTGCTCCTAGTACTTTTCCCTTGAAATTCCTACTTTTTCTGCTTTTTCCTACTCTTTTTGTCCCACATTTATTTATTTTTTGGTGTGTTTTACTTTTTTTCACCTGAAATTCACTATGGAAACTACTTATCTGGTTAATGATATTATTTACACCTACCTGTAGTTAATAACATTGTTTTGCTGTTGAGTGTTGAGGTGGTTTATTTATAGTGACCGTCAATATTAGTATGCAGTTGCAAACAAATGGAGAAATTGTTGGGTTTGATACAATGTGTCCTGTCCAGAACAAATGAGGACAAATGAGCAAAAGTTGCCTAACTTCAGTAATCAGCAGTCTAAATGACACCCGCATGTGTGTCTGGATATATTGGGTGTACTGGGATGGAAGTACACAACCCATGACCTCAAGAAAATCCTGCAGTCATTTCGAACCAACTCTCCAAATTTCCTCTGACAATTATAGGATAAGTAGATACTAGACGTAGGGAGTGTGATTTTTCCTGGTTATTAAACAATCTAGATTTCAAGTTCAGGAAACACAACTTTTCAGGAAATTTAACATGCATCGCTGTGTGGCTCTTATGGAGGATGTCCAGCATTTGAGACACATGTATAGGGCTAATTGGCCCCATAAAAAGTTACGCAAGAAACAGATATTAAATGAATCGCTTACTTGTTCACTTTGGAATTTCTGGGATTTCTTCAAGTGCCACAGGCCGGAGAAACCCTTCCTGATTTGTGCTCAATATCTGGACACCACCACATGGCTGTCAACTTGGTGAAGGAAAATGAACATCGATGGGTTTAGCTCTTTAATCTTCATCCAGCTTAAATTAACACTACATGTATATATATTTGTTCCTGTTTTTACTTTTGGTATCACTTCTAGGTGCAGTAGACAACATGTGAAAGATATCTGCCGTGACTCGCCTGCCATCTTGATCTGGAGCAATGGTCAAACTTACTCTACCATAATAACCCCAAACCTGTACAGACTATTGTCATCTTTCCTAGCTTCAGTTATGGACATATGCAAGGAGCAGAGAAGCTGTGTTTCCGTTTCTCGTGAATCCACAGATGTTATCTCTCCTCCCAGTCCTAATCCTCCTACCTCACCTCCTTTGATTCCCTCATCCCCGTGCCAGCCTCCCCTTCCCTTGGGTGGATTGGGATCATTATCACACCCGACCAACAATACAGTGTGGAATGTTGCATCGGCCGATGCAAGGAAACCCTCAGCAACGGCAGGGAAGGATGAGATTTCAAGAGGGATGCAAAAGTTGCTGTCATGGTATGTATTTTGATGTGTGTATAAGCCCTGCTTGCTGAACTGTAACAAGTTCTGAACAAAGCAAAAAAATCCGAAAATTTAGCTGACGGTGTGGAAGGGACCTGAAACTATACCAGGAAAGGCATATATCATTTGTCACCTGATTTTCAAATAGAAATTTAGAGGAAATTTTGAAAATATTCTGGCATATTTCTTAAGCAAAAACGTTCTTGGAAATGTCATTAACTTCAGAAACTATGTGCTAGAAACTAAAAAGTAGAAGGCAATCCTGTTCTAGTCCTAGAAGTAGACTACATGCGCACTACAATCAAAGTGATACTTGTAGTGTAATGGGGAAGTTCCCAATACACGTACATGGTACAATGCATACCAGTGTTGTAGTCAAATCCATCACAAGTCCTCACACGTCCATCACAGGCACCAGTCCAAAGTCAAGTCACAAGTCACAAGTTATTCAAATACACTGAAAAAGGCATTCCTGTATCACTGTTGATCTTCAGTTACTTGTGACTGGAATTGTGAATTGACTTGTGATGTACTTGTGTCCAGTCTGGTGATGGACTGATGATGGACATGACTATAACATTAATGCATACAAACACAATAAGCTGACTTACACCAGATAGTAACATGATAAAAGTGCCATTTGGAACCATTCTTGGCTATATATCTCAAGCATGCAATGAAACACTGAATATACATCTATTGATCTGCAGGAGAATGTGCAATGAAAGAGATGACAGTGTATGGATAGCAAGCAACCGTCACACTGCACCTGTCCTTCAACAAGGCCCAGAGTAAGGACAGTGAAATCTTGACAAGTCAAACCTCAAGGGAACAGGTTCAAAATTTGACTTAAGCAGAGTTTTGAGTAAAGCAGGGTTGTATATCATTGTTTTACTACTGCAGGGAATGGATTCTTTGTTTGACTTAACCTTTGTTTTGAGTTATCAGAGTTTGACTTATCGAGATTTCACTGTAATCTGCAAAAATGGTACAATGGTATACAAATATTAAGTGGCTCAGAGTGAAATGGGAGGAATATTATTGCAAGGTAAAATCTGGACTTTTCTATTTCAGGAAGCGAAGCCAAGTGAAATGGAAAAGTCCAGATTTTACCAAGTGATAATATCCTTCCATTTCACAATTTAAAGCCACTCAATATGTTTTTTTTAACTGACATATAGATCCTTGTCATTTGATTTACAGATAAAATGAACTTCTATTTCAATACAAAATTGGTGGGAAATGTATTTCTCTCTTCCAAACCACCCCTTCACAAAAGGTTTGAACCCAACTCTGTAGCTACTGGCTCTTGGGAACAATACGCTCAACGCGCACACCAGCATGCATTTGCACACAAATACTGTGCCATGGAACACGGATTATCCTAACTGTTGAATAGTAAATCCCATTCACCATGGGCGAATAGAACTCTTTGAGCCCCTGCGTGAATGGGAGCAATAATGAATGTCAAGTTGTGTGAGTTCCACCAATCAAATGACAAGGATCAGTATGCCAGTTATATAATATCTGCAATAAGTGTGACAGCCTAAACATAACTACATGTATGTTGTCAATGGCCAAGAAGGGGCGTGGCCAATTCAGAGGAGAAGTTCATTAATTAATTGACAAATGTCTCGCATCCTTAATGTCATAAATGTTGGATTAAGGTCATCACACTTTTAAAATTCCTTTTCATAACTATGTTAAAGGCAAGAGGTTTTCAGATCTGAAATTTTGTAACCTCATGGTTTTACAACTCTGAAGAAACCCCCCAAAATCCTTAAGTTTGGTGCATTCCATGGTTTACAGCAGGATCAATTTTCAGACCAGATTTTTAAACTCTGTACCAAGAAAAAAGCTTGTCTATGAGAAAAGCTTGTCTTATTTACCATTCATAAATACCTCCGACAGTTTAGCCATTCCTATTGGTCGAGAGCCCGTCACGTGGCCGGTCTTAAACGGATGATAAAGACATGGCTAGCTGGTCTTAAACACTTTTCCAGTGTCACATAAAATGTGGACTCCTAAAAATCCAGTGCCTCTTACCGTTTTATTGGTTGAACGTTCACAGTCCTCACGTAGGCATGCGCAACACTACCAGTGAGTCAGAATTTTATAGTTCTAAATTCAAAACGCAACGCCCCAGGTGCGTTCTGCGCGACATCGCACAGAACGTGCCACGTGCGCGTCAATCTCCATAAAAGGGTTGTTTATATCTTAATCGCCAGCTGAACACTCCATTATTTAGCTAGAGGGATGTTTCAAAAAGCATGAAGTGAACTTGATGAACAAAATCGGGATTTTTTGACCGAAATATTAAATTTTTTGACCGAAAAGGTATTTATGAATGGGAATAAATGTGTGCTCGGTCGGTATTAATCACTCTGTTTAAGACCGCTTAGAGTCTGGGTGCTGATAATTACCCTCGCCTCCGGCTCGGGTAATTATCAGCACCCAGACTCTAAGCGGTCTTAAACAGAGGGATTAAAACCTCTCGAGCACACATTTATTCCCTTATTTATTCACACATATGAAATAAAAATGTCTATAATTGTTTATTTTATGGTGTGTATTCTCATCGTAAACTGTAAAATCATTGTCAAGTCTAAATCCCTGACTCTCAATTCTTGGCAGGTGTGGTATAGTCGCCCTCTGCATGGCTGTCAACATGTTGGGGCCAGTCTCTGCAGATAAGAGACACATCATGAACACTGCCCAAGAGAAAGGATTCACTATTCAAGGGGAAATGTTCTCAGGTAAACCAGAAGATAATATGAAGCTTCAAGAAACTGAAAAAGGAACTCAGAAATCTAGCAATTTCTTTTCAGAGCTGTAATCTCGTCGTTGCAAGTCAATACAATTAAGTCAGTCAGTAGTCATTACAAGTAATCCAGTCTCAAGTCAAGTCAGAAGCTTTTCAAGTGAACTGTGACAGTGGGATTCTTTTGTCATTGTTCATACTTGTGCCTTGACCTTAATCCAGTCAATACTGATTGACTGCATTCAAACTCTGTCATTTTACCTGTCATTGTAAAGATGTTAGTTCACACCTAATAGTGGGTCATGCTGTTTGAGATCAAGTTGAGGTTAAAACTCGGTTTTCATGCTTTGAGAAACTTTCATTGCTACCATTAGAAATTGAATGTTTCAACATAGTTTGTGTTTTCTCTATTAAATGTCAGCACGACAGAAAAACATTTCATGGAATCATATCTCATTAAAAATATCAAGCTTTTCATCTGTAGTCAGTTCTGTTTCAAATAATAGCGTGTTTTGTTGATTTTGCAATAAGCTCTGCCCACTGTTTACTTATGACTGATAATGACCAAGCTACCCGGGTCAACTGACTAAAAGACGTGATTTAATTGGTTATTAAATGCCCACCGTTTGATTGACAGACAGGAAGGGTCAAATAGCCACTAAGGCAGTGTCCAAAACGGGCTTCCAGAGCTATGGCTACGTCTATTGTCAGCGCGTCCCTGCGTAGTATCAGTGGGTGCAGACCTAGACCTAGCTCTAGACAGCTGATGCGGATGCAGCCTAACAACCAGATTCACTGAGCATACTGGGAGTTTTGAACTGTGGTTTCCAAAGAATCAGTACTTTAATTGTACCTCATAACAGATGAAACTGACATGTACACTTACCTGTACTTAATCAGATGTATGCTTCATCATTCACAGCCACAAACTTACTGGACTTGGTGTCCTGTAGCTGTGGAGTCAATGGCAGAGTTTTGGTAGGAAACATGACGGATAACCGAGATGATATCATCCTCCACCTTGCCAATGGTTGGCCAGTCCTGGTGCCGTATCCTCACTCAAAGTTTAAAGAAGTTGAAACCTATACCCTCCAGAGTTTTAATGTTGCCAATGTGAACTCTGTGCATTAACAGTAGATGGTGCTTCCTGACCTCCTGGGGGGGGGGGGACAATTACATATGTGCACTGGTTCACACCCACACACACACCCACGTGTGTAAATGCCGGCAATCGTGGACGCCCCATTGTCCCTAATCCTATTTCCTTTGTTTGTACTCTTAACTTTTTAGCGACAGCTCTCATTGGTTTTGTACACGATTTGAGATCGTGGACGTTCGGTCAATCGTGGACGTATTGTTTGCGCCCCAATTCTTTTTTCCTACGTCCATGATTGCCGGTGTTTACATACTCACGCTTACACAGGCATAGAAGTGGGGTACTTCCTTTGTTCTCATTTTAACCAGACTTAATTTCGTGGGCTGAAATTCCGACTTAATATCCCTTTTCTAAAACTCTTGCATTTGCGACAGATCAACCCACCTTGGAAATTCCTAGTTTTTGAGTAAAATCCATATATCTATTTTGTGAAAAACTTGTGGGGTACCAAAACGGTACCCGGCAAGTCGGTGGGCATTCCTTGTGGGTTACCTCCCATTGTTTCGGTACCCTATAAGGCAGTGTTTATACGTTCACACAGACAAGCCCGTTCACATCGTCGATCGTGGACGTCCTATTGTCCCTCTGTTGTTTGTACTCTAACTTTTTAGGAAGACTCCCATAGGTTTTGTTCACAACCCCCCAATCGCTGACGTATGCTGGGTATCGTGGACGATATTGTTCTCGGAGATGAAACTTTTCCGATTTTAATCGGAAATCCGACTTTTTGAATTTTCCAACGAAATTTCCGATTTTTTTACAGTGTGTCCCACAAAATTTGATTTTGTAACGATTTTTTCACAAAATGTCATTTTATTTCAATCATAATTTCGAAGAAAAGTCGATGGAAATGGCATGTTAAAATCATCGCGAACGTAGTTTTAATCTCTTTCATCAGTCGTTATTGGAGTGTTTCAACGGTAGAAACACGGGGCATAACACTGATCGGAGCCTTCTCCGGCTAGACAAAAGGTTAAACATTGACGGTGACATGGAAAAATCACTGTGTCGCACGTGCGTGCGAATATGCAATGGTACCAGCATACGTTCCGCACCGTACGCGACCGCTAGCACATGGCCAGTCCGGAACGGGTAGCCTTGTGAACGAGATCCAGTGGATAAAATCATTATGTTGTGCGATTTTCGGAGGTTTCAGATTTAGTTGTACAAAATGCAATGCTTTAAAAATCGTGATGATTATCTCGAGGATAGCGAAGAGAGCATTAGCGAAACATTTCACTGGCATTTGTTGGAAGAGAAAGACGATAATGCCTGATTTTCCCCCACGTTTGAATGCAAGTGGAGTAGTGGAGTTGTGCGATTGAATCATAAAAATGATTGAAGCACCATAAACGGTGCCCTTGTCTTTCGGACTTTTAATTTCCTCGACTTTCTCAAGTAAGAAGTGAACTTCTTTATTGATGACTCCATCACTCTAACCGTAATTCAGGCATTTTATGCAATGAAAACACTGACCATTTTTTTAATTGTAAAATTTTGTTTGAATCGAAAATAAAGCAGGAGTTGGCGTCCGGAAATTGGGCATGAAGTGTATTGTAGTGTACATGCATGTACATGTGTGTAACTGCAGCGCGGCCCAGATTTCGGACACGTATTTTTTTTCCGGCCTATTTTCCGATTTTTTTGCCATATGCTAGTTTCATCTCCGTGTTGTTTTGTTCTCTGGAATTTTTTGTCCACGGTTTGAATAGATGATCACCCCAACACAGACAAGTGGCATAATCTTTAGACAATCAATTGTATTCTGAATACATGTACATGTATGTACAACCCATATCATCTTGGCTTGAGTGCCTGATGTACTGCAGCAATGCATTCAAGTCCCTACTAGCTCTGTCTGTAACTCTGGTGACTGGGTACCTGTGCATGGAGTCCATAGCTAATCTCAAGCAGTGATGTATTAACTAGGGTTAAACCTCTGGGGGGAACCTGGGGGTGCATACATTTTCTTTTCAAGGGGGCACTGCAACACTGGGTACATGGTCAGGACTGTATAGATCTAAACTCTTTTATGAGTCTTCATTTTGTTGTTGCTTTGATTTCCTTAATCTCCAAAGTTATGACAAGGATGCCAACTGTGAGCCATGCAGCTTGAGGGGACATAAAGCCCACTGGGCTGTCATTTCAGGTAATGCAAACCCTTCCTATACTGATAGGAAAACCTGAAGTGACCATTTATAGCGGCCAGAAGTGGACCAGAACTTAAATGGCCGTAGCCCAGGCTGACAGCCAGCATTTTTTGACCTTCTGTAAAAAGTGTAAGGTTTTAAAATTGATCATACAGTTTAGCCATAGAACTTTCAGAGAAGATATCGGGGTTTTTTTTGGTTTCAAACAGCATTGCCAGTTAAAAAATAAAAATTTGACTTATTTTCGGCAATGTTCAGCACTGTTCACTCGTCACTAAGGTGAATGCACTTACCATAGCACAGACTGCAATGGTGCAGATACCCTGAACACACGATACTTTTGGCTAAAAAAAAGTACCAGCAAGTTGTGGACTGGTAGACAACATTCATTAACTTTTTAGTTCTAACTTTTCCCAACTCTAAATTCAGATTTTTCTTGGACTTTGATGACCATTGTCCAGAACGAAACATGCTAATCTTCCAACTGTTGTACAGAAAACAGTGTTCCCTGCAAGTCTCAGTGGAGTCAGTGGACACAGCTTTTACTGCCAGCCACAACAAAATACATGTACAGGGTGAGTAAAAAAAAAACGAATCCCAAATGTCAGGACTATTGTTTTAGTGAAGTTCTGCATGTAGCACTTTCAAAATCTAGGATATAAAAGTCCAATTCATAAGCTTTCTTTTAGTACAAGAATCATTCAAATCACTCATGTATTTTTCAAGTTATGGAATTTTAAACAAAACCACCGTTTTAAGGGTTCTGTCCACAGATCACAAATAAGTGTGCGTTTTTCAGCAAAAGGAAAACAATTCACATACATCCCTATGTGATTTGTTTTCATTTTGCTGAAAGAACACTTAACTTTAAAACGGTGGTTGTGTTTAAAATTCTGTAACTTAAAAAGTACATGAGTGATTTGAATGATTCTTGTACTAAAAGAAAGCTTATGAATTGGGCTTTCGTATCCTAGATTTTGAAAGTGCTACATGCAGAACTGCACTGAAACAATAGTCCCGACATTGGGTTTCGGGGGTTTTTTTACTCACCCTGTATGTGTAGACTTTTAACTGTTGGGGAAAATAAGCATTGCCATGGGATTCTAATTCAAGTTCAGAACAGTTAACCTAGTCTATTTCTCCATTTTCACGAAGGTTTTTTGCTGCAATGCAGCAGAGCTGACTTTCCAGATCTAAACTCGAAAGAGATTCATCAGGATCCAGCTGCATCCAACCTGTACTGCATCAGCGTTGATAACCACGATGGGCTGTCCGAGCACACCATCCAAACAGTTCAGGCTGTCCTACAAAGCCTTCCTGCCTCTGATGTCTACCTCCTGGCCAGGCAGGGTAAGAGCACCCATATCCACCCCTGGAGGTACACTGCACTGTCTGACAGCAATTCTAACCTCTTAGAACTCGGTAGCAGCATCCAGGCAGACATTGGCAAGTTTGTGATTCCAGAGGGTGGTATACAGGCAGGGTTGTGCAGTCAAGTGGTCTTGATAAGGCCTTGATTTGGGGAAAACCCTCTTTGGAGGAAAATGTTGAGTTGTGCAGGAAACATTGCTGCTGTGTCCATCAAGTCCATGGGCAAGGCACTTAACCTGAACCATTTCTCTTGCCAGGACTTTTTTGCTGTCATGGAACTCAAGTATGACAGAAAATATCCTAACAAATGCTGAAAAATGGGGTTTTATATTTACATCGCTGAGTTAGTTATTTAAAGATTGAAATAAATTATTAACTATTTTCTCGTGAATCTTATGAGTAGTGCCTTGTAGAATTTGAGCATTTTTGGGCATTCAAATTCTGAAGAATGAAATACTCCTACCTTTTATATGAACCGCCTGGATTATGTGAGAAAAGTTTTTACAAGTTCATAGGCGGATTGTTAAAATTACATGTTTTGACTGAATATACTTCCAGTGCTGTTATTGAGCCAATTCCGTTTATATTGCAGAAGTTTTATTACATAATTTTGGAAAATCACTTGTTTTACAGTTTGAAGTTCAAAATTGAATCCAGGTGTAGAAATGAAAAAGAAGTAGTTGTGCAAAGGTTTTTCCAGAGAATTATTTTTTTAGTAGTTGTGTTCATATATTTATTTTTGGGGAGGGGCAGTTGACGGGAGGTGGACCTTAAATTGTTGAAGAATTGAAGTGCTTTACAAATAAAAAAAACAATGAGACCACATCCAATTATTCTTAGATATCTGTTCTCATTTTATTAGGTCGTTGTTTGGCTTTCTATTTAGGACAATAAAGAATACAGTCAGCAAACCATTTTACATTGTAGTCCCACTAGTTACAAAGTAATGGTGCAATTGATGTTGAGTTTCAAGGAGAAAGATGTTTTGAATTCTTGGGCCATGTACACATAGACTATTCTGGTGCTGATACTTGGAAGCCATTACTCAGGTGGTAGCACACTTGTGATTTTACATGTTGTACCAATGACATGTTTACAAATTGGGCCTCAAATTTAAGAACGTGTATGACTAGACCCCAATTTCACAGAAGCGCTGAGCAGAAAATATTGACGAGTCGATTTCCGTACTGTGCATAAATCAGTTGAGTAGACATACCGGTCACAATCCATGCACACCGCATGAGAGTTTGGGCTACTAACCTGTTTTGTTCGCTAAATATGCCTGTTGGGAAATGTCTGTGCAAACGAGCTACATGAAATTGGCTTATGCACAAGAACATGGTACCACCCAAATGATGCCTTCTTATTCTGGTTACAGGATTCTTCTATACATGAGTAACACATTTTACAAGCATGCAAGCACATATATGTCAGACTATCTTTTTCTTTAAGCCCTTCCTAGATTTAGGATGGAAAACTGCCTCCCGTAAAAGCATAGCCAGTCCATTTTGTGACCATTGTGTATTTAGGCAAACAGTTCATGTAAAGACCTTATTTGCAATGGTTATCCAATGCAATAAAATGCTCTTCATAACAGGAATTTTGTTTTCAGGAAAAATCTATGTTTCGAGTACAAGATAGGACTGGTACAAAACATTCATTTCATAAGACTAATTTGGATCCCAATCAATAGTCACAATGAGCACCTGAAAAGCAAGTTGTGAGAGAATGAATGGAATAGGTGTGAACTCAACTTGGTGAGGTGGTGACACATCACTGTCAAGTGGCATAATGCGATGCGTATTGTCACTATCATTCACATCAATGTATTTTCAGAGCTTTTTTGTTTCAGCTTCCACTGAGCTGAAATGTTAAGTCAATTCTTCCAAATATACGACAGTTTTAAAGGTCACTCTATCAAACATTTTACAAATGTTGAGAATGTCTGTGAAACTTCTTTTCTGGTTATTTTTCTTGACAACCTGAGCACCTTTTATAAAACTTTCATGAAGTTTAAAGTACACTTATAAGCAAATAAGTGGCAATACTCCAATGCTTTCAATGGCCTTTCAAAACATCTTCTGATTATCCACTTCAAACTCTAAATCTGAAAATAAGTATGCATTTAAATGGTTCTGTGTCATGTTTGTAAAATAATCAGTAATTTTGTTTATTTAATTTTGCTTTCTATATGAAAAAAAGAAATGCTTGATACTGATACAGTGACTTAAAGCTGCTCACAGAAGACTTGAATTCAAGTTAAGAGTGGTCAGGTTTTGTCCATCCGTGCCACTGGTAATATGGAACTGTGTTAAATATTTTTTTAATTACTCTTTTTAACATTTCATCTGATGGGATATGACTCATTGGGAGTTAAATCACATGCATGTGAACCCAAGTACATTATGTGCGTATCGTTAACATGGCTGAACAAACAAGACCCATTCAGTTACAGACTTGAAACCAAGGCTTCACTCAAAGCTGCTTGTATGTTTCTGTTGGCAGCCAGTAGGGAGAAGTCACAATTATTGGTCCAAATACATGTAAGTACCTTTTTCAGACACCATCAAAATTACAGAAATGAGAAATGACAGTAGTAAAATCAAATACATGAACGTTAATGTAGTTTGCTTGGTCACTTACAGTCTAAGAAATAAAATCCCTGTTTAAAAAAAAAATACCAGACAATGTTGAATAACTTCATGTTGCAAGAAAGAAATTAGCTGGAAGAAAGTGGTTTGAAAACAGGGGCAAAAAAAACACAATTATGCCTAATCCCTAATTCTTTGCAATGGTGTTGGCCTACAATGAGATACAAATCCCCACTCAAACCCTCTGATCAAGGTTTTACTCTGTTTTCAATCCGTGAATATTCAAAGGTTTTATTTTGATTTGAAAATCAACTGTGAAGGAGTGAAGGGGCTTACATGTTCTATACAGGATTAATGATGTATTGCTTTAAAATGACGGGAAGGGGGGATGAAAGTTTAAACAGATTTCAATTTGAAACAATTACAAAAGCAGATGTTCAGTTCTTCGTTTTACAGTATATCTACACAGCCTCGTAGATAAAACATGAACCTACATGTACACACAAGTTTAAAACTGGGCTACAACTATGCTTTACAAGAGACTAAAATTAAAGATAGCATCATACTTACCTCGTTGTTGGAAACATCAGAGAAAGTTATCAGCATGTTACAAGTTCCGTCTTTCTGTGTTTCATGTCAATACCCAAAACAAAATAGTTTTCCTTTGTTTTACTTTTTGTTTTGTTAATAAGCCTTATGTTTCACACACTAAGCATTTGCATCTTCTACTTTGACATACATTATCTTCAAAGGAATCCTCTCACTTCAGTGTTGTCTGTGTTAAGCAGAGTGGGCCAGTCAGCTGGAACGTTTGTTTTTTGTATTCTTTGTTATTATGTTTTCCCATTTTTCTTTAAAAAAAAAATTGATTTAAGATTGATTCATGATACCTATTACTGTTCAGACATTTAAAAAAACAATCAAAAGTTGACATTCCATTTTTACAGGCAATGATCAAAACTTCTGCCACATTGTGATTTGTTTTTAGTTAATGCGTTTTTTTGGTGATGTGCACTCATGTAAATTATAATTTTGTTGATTTAATGTAAAATCTTGCCAGTAGCCCAAAATATAAGTTTAAACATTGTATTAAAAATCAATAGATGACGTCATCTTGACGTCATTTCGGGTTTTGCCTACTTGTAATCATTATCTACCTTCCCACCAAGTTTTATGATGATATGACCTACCCTTATATTTCGCATATGTGATGACTCATGATAACGTCACACAATTTTCACATTTTTTTGCAAATACCTACGACTTAACAAACCTATTACCAAAAGAATTTTGAATTTAGCTGTTGTGTTCATGAGATATGGCAATAATCTCAAAATTTCAAAAATCTACATAAAAACACGTGATCAATCACCTAAATTTTCATCTATAACACATCCCGGTATGTGTACATGCAAAGTTTCAACCTTATCGAGCTTGTAGTTCTACAAACATAGGCCACAGAAAGATTTACCTTTAAGATGACGTCACATGACACATAATGACCTCATCATGACATCACTCCACAGGACACAACTTTGCTATAGGGACTATGCCTATGCTAACTTTGAATGATATATGTGACCAGCTCCACAAAAAAAAAAGTATTCAGTCGCGCTGTGCATTATCATTGAGAGGGTGACAATTTCATCAAAATGTAATTTTCTTTTTGTTTTGTCATGAATAATGTCTTTATTACCTAAAGTTTCAGGATTCATTCACAGAAATGTTGATTTTCATGAATAAAGTGGGGGAAAAAACTACAATTTTTAGTGCATCGTGCCCAAATCTACAACTGAGCCAGCTCTTTCAAAGCCTGTTTTCTTAGTTGTGTAATTCAAACTCCAAGGAAGTAATTAATATGCAAATACGTCGTCTCTCCAGAACAGAAGGGGATATGGAGCTCTATTATATACCAAATACTTTCCAACCATCTATATAACTAAATTTCATTAGTCTGCGACATAATACCCTTTTTTGTGAATCAGGTCATATATGACAACGATGAATGCCCAAAGTCTATGGGATTTGGGATAGAACAAAAAGGGGAAAGAAAAAAATCAGAACAAAAACAAAGGCTTTTCCACAACTTTGCAGAAAAGCCAATAAAAAATTGCTTTGACACAACCATTTTTTTTTTTCTAACAACTTAAGTCCATCTTAAGTTGTGATTGCCCAAAAGGTGGTCACATGACCGGAGTGGTTTAATTCACTACGCTGAATGTCGCGATGACATTGAAAGCTACATCGCTGCAATATTTTTGATTCCAAAAAGTTATCTAAATATTTCTTATCAACGTGATAGAATCCAATGTCAGTATACATGCTGCTATCTTAAGTCCAGTTTGTTAATGCGTCACTGGCAAATTTAGTTGATTTCATCAATTTCAAAATGTTTCAACCTTGAAAATTACACTTGCGATATACATGTATTACAGAATGTTGCCCCTTGCTGGATACATGGGCCAGCCTACTGTCTTCTGACTTAGTCACTGACTTAGTCACTGAGTGACTGAGTGACTGACTGAGGCACTGAGTCATTGAGTGACAAGCTGAGTCATTGAGTGACAAGCTGAGTCATTGAGTGACAAGTTGAGTCATTGAGTGACAAGCTGAGTCATTGAGTGACTAGCTGAGTCATCGGGTGACTAGCTGAGTCATTGATTGACTAGCTGAGTCATCGGGTGACTAGCTGAGTCATCGGGTGACTAGCTGAGTCATTGAGTGACTAGCTGAGTCATCGAGTGACTAGCTGAGTCATCGAGTGACTAGCTGAGTCATTGAGTGACTAGCTGAGTCATCGGGTGACTAGCTGAGTCATTGAGTGACTAGCTGAGTCATCGGGTGACTAGCTGAGTCATCGAGTGACTAGCTGAGTCATTGAGTGACTAGCTGAGTCATCGAGTGACTAGCTGAGTCATCGAGTGACTAGCTGAGTTATTGAGTGACTAGCTGAGTTATTGAGTGACTGAGGCACTGAGTGACTGACTGAGTCTCTGAGTGACTAACTGAGTCATTGGGAGACTGAGTCATCGAGTGACTAGCTGAGTCATCGAGTGACTAGCTGAGTTATTGAGTGACTGAGGCACTGAGTGACTGCCTGAGTCTCTGAGTGACTAACTGAGTCATTGGGAGACTGAGTCATTGAGTGACTGACTGAGTCAGTGAGTATAAATTATGTCCAAAATCGAGAAAAGGTCCAACTCACTATGCAAGTGTAGTCTTGTTTTTGACCAACAAGTTCTAAAAGGTAAATAATGGGACATTGCTTGTGGACTTTAGAAGGCAAACATGCGATACATGTACTAAAAGAAAACTGGAGAAAACGTTTCAGATTTGAAGACCGTTATTTTCGATTTAACTTTTTTAGCATGCAAATTGTGAAATGTTGATGTTCATTTAAACGTGCCATTTTTTATTTATTTGAATGGTTAACATTTTCTAGAGTTTATTTGGTTGTAGTTATTGCCAATATTGGT